TTACCCATTTCCGTGATCCGACAATTAGGAAAAGTCGCATCTGTCTCCTGATTCTCATCTGTAAAGGACATATCAATCCCTGTTGGCTTTCACTTCTGAAAGTTAGCTCCGTTGAAATTCATGCAGAGCCTCATGCCATTTTCCTAATGGCATCAGACTTCGTGCGACAACTGGCGGAACAAAAAAAAGGTGCATTCAATTGGTAATGATAGCATGCAGAACTTCTTTCATGGTGAGACTCATCGTCGCGAGTGAAGGCACAGACTTGGGCATTTGACAATTCAATGCCCGGCGCTTCTCTGGTACCAGATGAAAATCGCTCCCATGCTCTCTATCGTTCAAAGTCTTCGGGGAGACATGCGGAAATACTTTTCATCGATCGCTTTCACGGACTTCGGCCGAAGTTTGCTTATTTCTGGAGTCAGTTAACCGTAGGTGGGGGGGTCTGCAGTTAATTCCCCACGCGTTACACATGCATCCGCCAACAGGTCCCACATGTCCGCTGAAGATGTCAATTTTATATCACTATTGTCCAATTCTCGGGCCCGTTTGAATCTGATACTATCTGGAGCGAATCTACATGAGGCTACTTAGCGTTCGGGACAGAGACGTAAAATGTATTTTCTTCGTAGGTTTCCAGCTGCATATATTGAATAGTAACCCTTGTGGGAAAAGGTGGTACTGAAATTCCTTGCCAACCACGGTTTTGCCAACCGCGGTATGAGGTTTCGAGTATCCACGGTTTCAGGCGCATTCACATTATTTTTGCCTGCAATAGTTTTTCTTAAATCTGAAAAACATTCATGTATTTTATCAGTAGAACATCTACACTTACTATTTATGATTAATTCAGCAAATTTATTTTCTTCTTCATGAAATATAAAGGGTTATCATAAAGTCAAAACCCTATTTTGATTAGCTACAACTTTTCAAGGGACAGTCAGATCCAGCTTATATTTGGCGGAAAGGTTCATGAGTCAATAATATTTTCTTTCATGCCTCAAGATGGCGCTGCATGCCCAAAGAGGGCGCAGATGTCGACTGCAGTGCCATCTATCTACTTGGTATGTCAGTTTTTAAGCATGAGAAAATAACCGTTTAGGTCCATGAACCTCTCTGCCAAATGTCAGCTGCATCCGAGAGTCCTTAGATATGGTCAACATTGGATGGCGACTTGAAACAATTGAAATTTGTTTGGTCATAACTTTCTAAGGAATATCCAGATGCAGCTGATGTTTGACAGATATTTAATGGGTCTATTATTTATTCCTTCCATTTCGTGGCACAAGGGTGCACATGTTGACTGGTAGCGCTGTGATTGCATGTGCTCCTTCACATTTCACCTTCGCATCTGACTGTCCCTTGAAAAGTTATAGCTAATCAAAACAGGGTGGTGACTTTATGATGACCCAGTATATTGCGTTAGTTTTTTCGTGATAGAATTAGTTTGGTAGTCGCGGGGAATAGCGCAATGGTGAGCTTATAAAAACCGATGCACCATTCTAGAACTCCTCTTAAACGATTCTCGAAAGTGGGTTCCCTTAACCCCCTATTTCCCATAAGTCATGGGTTTTACCCACCTCGGTGTTTTCCAGGAACGTAACCACCGCGGTTGGCGAGGGATGACTGTATATCGCGGCCTTCAATATCATAGGTGACAACCAAGACCGGTTCAGAAACAATTCTGAGTGGAACTGATGATGCACATTAGGTTGGACAGATTTGAAAAAACCTCATTTCATCAATTTCATCATCCTTTTATGCCATGCCAAAAAAATATATTAGGCTATCCTTAGAAATCTTACACTGACCGGCTTCTTCCTCCTGAAGATCGCAAAAAGGAACGTTGCAGTAGTTCCATGGAACTATCTGATCTTTCCGAACATGGACGTCATCGTAGCACCAAGGACCTCCTGGACGACCCCCAGGATTTCTGCAATAATTGTGCTTTTCATCCACCTCATCCGAAAATGCAGGGAGCCTATCGGCCCATCTCCGATATAGAACTGTCAGGGTAATACTGAGCCATGGCAGACATTTTGTACCCGCCATGGTGTTGCTCTCCTTCCCGATGTATTCTGCTCCCTTTTGCGTCAGTTTGCACTCCAGTGGAACTAGAAACAGCGCACCCAATGTCATTACACACGTGAAATTCAGCTGGGTTGTCAATGCTTGCAGGATTCCCGATTTCCATTATTATCCAAATCCATATGCAGTGCTTGTTCACTGAATACCCTAGACTAAGGACACAGAACATTCTGTGAAATAAGAAAATCCCCATCATTTTCGCTCATCAGTTTTATCATTCTATTATTGACAAACGAATGCTCTACTCGGCCTAGAGATGCCTAGAGTTAGGCATACGTATTATCGGATGAAAGCTATCATACGAAGGGATCTGTATGAAGTAGCATAAATGAGTCAAGGAGCGGAAACAAAAGAAATGATCTCATCTACGTATGTATTACGCAGTTTACCGAATCACCTAACGACGAAGTAGAAATCGTGTGAAGGTGACAGTGGTCTCATATTAATTGTCATTGCCTGAAAACTTGCATAAAAATTATGTGTTATTTGAGTAATTAATCAAAATGTTAATTAGTTTTTTTCCCCGGATGCTACTTCTTTAGCGCTCTATCTTGGATCGAACTACCCAGTCTCATGGATCACAACGACGTCCTTCCATCTGATTACTAATTGAAATTCTCTTACTGCTAATTACAAAGTAATCCTGAGGAAAATTTTCCGAAGAGGACCACCCGTCGAATATTCCATGTGATACGTCAATCGCAAACTCTTGAGTAAATTGCGTTGGTCCATATTTTTCTCTGAGAAATTTACGACAAGTAGTAACTATAATGCTAAGAAGTTTGGGTTATAGGCTAGGCTAGCATGGAGTGGCGTGCACATACAACAAGGGGTAGCCACGTTGAACGGAGCGCAGCTTTGGTAATGGCAAAGATATTATTTCTTAGGTAAAACCCCTCAAGGCAAAATTTCTTTAATAGACACTTTTCCCAAAATCTCTTTCTATCCATCAAAACAGAAAGAGATAAAAAGTTGAAACTGGGCGCAGAAGTACTTGTTGCATTACTGAGTACAGAAAAATCCTACTTTTGAGATATTTCCCCTTAGGGTAGAGTATACGAAGGAAGTATAGCAATATTTATTTTCCACCCTGACAAACGAGGGCATATAAAGAAATTTGAAGTGAGGGACACAAGAAATCATCAGAGTAATGATTTCAATAAAAATCTGGGTTACGTCTCCTCATGGTACATATTTCGACAGGGACGTAGCCTACTTCAAACGTTATTATTGAAAGATGAAATTTGGTATGCATGTGCTTCTCTCGATGCTATTATTTGTTACCTTTTTAGTTGTGAAGTTCATCCAGGATGACTTAAAAATAAATACATTTAATAAATACATTTTTAATTCTAGGAGTCTCGAAGTGGAGTAATAGGTAAAGGTTATTTGGTAATCCTGCAGTTTTTGGGGAACTAATTTCAGGAAATTATATTTTTTTAAGGTACATCCCCACAGGGACCCTAATGTTTTAAACGCAGGCATTCCAGAAAATTGTTGCTCTCACCAGAGAGACAGAAACTGAAACTCATGCTCAAAGATACCTGTCAATATGAATATTTAGAAGAGAACTCTCCTTTTAAGATATTTCCTTTTGGGACATACTCTTTTGGGGAGATATTTTCCATAACACTTACTTTTCCAATAATGAGGCAGATATAGAAAACTGAATTTCCGTTAAGATTATTTTGAAGAGGTAATTCCCGCTTTTTAAGTTCAATTTCAACTTGGCAGAAGTATCTTTTTGCAGCATACTTCCAGGAAATGTTTATCCTAAAACGATTCGAGCGGATATAGAGTAGATAACTAAAATACCATACAGAACAAGTACAGAATACCAGTACTAAAATACCATACAGTACAGAAGAAGTATAACTCTTGGTACGACAATTTCAAGGAGCTAAAGTTCTCCGTTTTTTAGTTTGCCAATGACATAACGAAAAGTAACTCGACAGAACAATAAATATGTCTATTACCCCGAGAGCTTTACCAGATTGGTAAAAATGGATATTAGAAATGGATTAATGATTATCCTAGATAATACGAATTGAGCGCCGAGGGCGCGACAATGGCGAGTTTGTTCACCCGAGGGGGAAACAAACTCGCTGGTATAAAAATATTTACCTAAGTCCTCGCAGAGGGAAATGTCACAGAATTCCCATTGGACGACGGGGTCCGAGACAAAACACCACGGCCTCTCCCTCATTGCTGGATTCCTGCAATAGTTTTCAGATGCCTCCGGGTCCTCGTTGAGGAAATGCTCATCGTAGCGCAATGAGGGCAAAAAATCTTTGGGTTTCCCGTACGGCTGTCGATCCCATCGAAGGCAGTCCTTTTCCGTCTCAGTCTTCTTCATTTTACCACTGTATTCCTTTCCCTTTTCTGTCTCCCTTTTGCGTCAGTTTGCACTCCAGTGGAACTAGAAACAGCGCACCCAATGTCATTACACACGTGAAATTCAGCTGGGTTGTCAATGCTTGCAGGATTCCCGATTTCCATTATTATCCAAATCCTATATATTTTTTTTTTCTATGCAAGGTCTGCACCCACTGCATGGAAGTGCATCAAAATGAGGACACATTCTTAAAATAAAGGAATCTACATACTTTGCTCTGCCTTGTATGAGCAAAATTCCTTGTAGACCTTGAATGACCCATGTACATCATGCAAATTGAAAAATATTCATGGAAGCTATCTTTGTTTCACAAATATGATGAAATTGTGGCAGTCACCACAAAAGACGTCTGTCTTCTCATGATGAGAGCAAAAATGATGTATTATCAACGGAAGTGCCTCAGGCTTAGAACTTTTTGATCATCCCACGTAAATATCCTTGAGGGAGAGCTAGGCAAGCTAATGAAATTTAAAAATGTTCACTGGCTGGGGAGAAGAGGTGGAATTAGATGGGACTTCTAACCCAGTCTTGGACAAGACACTCCGTCGACAACGAAGGAGGTGCACCATGAGTCGGGGGAGTCGGAGCAAGTGGCCCAGTGGTCCTTCTTTCCGTCTGTGAAGCCCTCCTCACAGTGGAAGAGCACCTTGGCTCCGCTAGGGGCTGGGTATTTCCCATTCCATCTGAGGTATGTCAGATCCGCATTCTCCACCATCGGATGCTCCGTAAGGCAGAACTCTGTGCATACAAAATCATTCATGAAATACTCTTCGGAGACAAGCCGCAATAATTATATCCCATTTATGGGAATTCATATTTACACCTAGTAAGACACATTTCTTTTCTTTTCAAGTATGTCCCTCGGTCAAGGCTTTTAAGTAATGGCTTTTGTGGGAAAAAATTGAATGCAATTCCAAAGGAAATTGAGGAAAACATGATTTTCTGCAAATGGAAATGTCATGAATCGTGTAAGAAAAATAGTGATATCGTGGTTTACCATCGGTAGCCATTATTTTTGTTGACTGTTGTGATTTAGACTAGAATGAATTCAATTCCATGGAAGACCATATTTTACGAAAGCCTATCTTGAAGTTGTGGAGACTAAGGATTATGAAGGAATGAACTTTTGAGCTATTCCTGCTACAAATGAGCTTAAAGCAATTTCCCTTGAAATAGTTTATTCTTATGATTTGCGAAATTGCCTGAAGAGTCTTTCGTCGTTATATGTTTCATACTGATCGTGAAATTTTATTTTTCACAGGATGTAGAAGGGATCTAAGGCCTTGACGATGGCCTCTGATTGTATATTAAGTAAACGTGACCTGGTTGCACTTTAGCTTCTGCAAAAAAACTTTCACTTGTTCTGGAAAAATGAATTTCGAAGGAGTGCAGGAATTTTGCTATGTCGAAGAGTATTACTTCAAAGAGCCGTTTTATTTTTTTTTCCAGTAAATTTCAATTTCGTATGGGTTCGGATTTTCCTTGTTCGCTGTCGGAATCGATTATCACCTCGAAGTCCAGAGTTATAACCGCGTATTCCTATGAAGAGTGAGGACTACTGTCGTGTAATGGAATTCTTCCATTACGATCCTCATAAAACAGCTATTTTGTTCATTCAAAACATTTTAAGATAGTACAATTTTCTTTTAAATTGTTACATTAATAATATCGCTCGCTTTTGTGCCTTAAATAAGTAGCGAATATATAATGGGTGCCCTAGAAATTCCTGAATATGGGTTTTCATCTAAGTGTATTGCCTAGAAAGGCACAGAACTGTAGATCTCTAGCGTTGGAAACAGATAGGAGAGACCTAGGTCAGGATGGCCCGTATGCGAAACCGCCTGTCCATTCAATTTTAGGACACCCTGCAGGGAAGTTCGAAAGTAAACGAATGAGGCTTTTTTAATTACAGTGTCAAAAAAAAGGTAACGCTGCTTGATTCAATTTTTCTTGAATCTAACGAAACTTGTAAAAATTATTTCTGCAGCCATAAAGAAGGAAGATTAAACTCTCGTTTGCTGAATACCTCATGAAAATCGATCAGTTCTGAAGAGAGACATGAGATACTATGGATTAAATTTTAAGAAATTTGCTAACTTTCACGATGGTATAACTTTTCACGAAGGATACGTTCAAGATCTGCCTCTCTTACACGCCAGTGCACTTTCAGCCACTTAATAAGATTCTCGACGACCGACTTACTGTTGACTGGTTCTTTCTGCATTGATTTTTCAGGTTTCTGTACAATTTTGCAGTTAGATGCATCAAAACCAGTCCAGTATAGAATTGCACGTATTGGCAGTGTGAGTCTCAAAAGTCAATTCAGAAATTGTTTTAAGGGGCTGAAGGTGAACTGACGACGTGTTAGAAAGGCAGAGCTTGAACGAATCCTCAAAGGACATCGTGAAGTTGAGTAAATTTCTTAGAGTCTAACTTTTAGCATCCCATATCTTGCTTCAGATTTTATCGCTTCTCATGCAGGTTTTTAGCAAAGCGAGAGCTAAATCTTTCTTCTTTATGACTGCGGAAATAAATATATTTGTAATTTTGTATAATTTAAGAAAAATTGAATTAAGCACCGTTACCTTTTATTTTACACACCCTGTATGTTCCACATGTTATGGAAATTCCTAGTTATTTTCTGACTAAGAAAATACAAATTCTGCAATACATTGAAGGGGTTTTTTCATAATGATGATGGAATTACCATCTAATATATATGGACGATGGTGACTGACTGACGCTAATTCTAACCATGTTTTGGAAGGGCTAGAAATCTGAAACTTGGTACACATGTACTTCTTGGGATGCAGAGTTCAGAAAACATCCTACTTTGGAGGTGCATGCCCTGGGGGTTCAAATTTTGGGGGGAAAGGTTTTTCTTAAATATATTTTGAGACAGATGAGGATGGCAGAGTGTCACCTGAATGTGCTGGGTTCGGTGGTGTAGGAGTATCATATCTAACTGGCAATCAGAAGGTACGGATTCAATTCCAGGTCATTCCTTGGTTTTCTTTTGGCTTTTTTTTGCCTTCCATGTCCTGTTACTCATTCCCCCTCCATAATATTATTTTTGCTTGAGTAAAACGGAGAGACATGGAAAGCTGAAACTTGGCATGGACGTGCCTACCGAGACAAGATGTTCAGGAAAAATGCAAAATTTTAGATCCATGCCCTGGGGGCATATTTTTATGAGTCGACGTTTTCAAGTATTTATTTGTCATGGCGTATTGAGCTAGTGTGGAAAGATGAAACTTGGTACACAACTACCTATTGGGATGCTGCAGAATGCTTCAGACTTTGGAATTAAATGCCCTGGGGGCACAAATTTCAAAGGGAGATGTTTTCGACTAATTTCTTTGCATCAGTTAAACTTATGAACATGGAAAGCTGAAACTTTGCATGACTGTGACTACTGAGACAAGGAGTTAAATAAAAAATGTTAAGTCTCGATACATCCCCTGGGGGAATTTTTTCGAGGAACGATGTTTCGAAAAAAAAATTGTGGCGAATTGGATAGAAATGGAAAGGTGAAACTTGGCACACGTATAAGTGACATGATATTACTGAGCTGAGGGAGTATTCAGCTTTCATGTTGCATCCCCACCGGGCATAGCGTTAGGGTGGGTTGGCTTTTCCAAACATTTTTTTTCAACAGCGTAAAGGCCAAACGTATAATATTGAAACGTTGTGGGCATGAAGTTCACTAAGGATAGATTTCGGTAAGAAAAAATGGTACGTTTCGGTTAAAACGGCTCAGGGAACATGTTTTGCAATAGGCGTATTTTCACGAACTTTCTGATCTAACAAAACAGAGGGCGCAAGAAAGTTAAAAAAACTTGGCAAATAAGTACCTAATGGATAGGTGTGTAAAGAAAAAAATTCCACTTTCTAGTATATATAGACGATCGTGACTGACTAACTGACGCTAATTCAAAATGGGGAAACGTATAAGGCTGAAACTGGGCGGCATGGAGTTCCCTGAGTCTCCATTTCAGAATAAACTTTTTTTCGCTAAAACCCATCTGTCATTTTTAAATCCCATTTTCCTGAGTATTTTTCTGATCCAACGAAACAGATACAGAAAATTTAAACTTCCTTCAGAAGTTCCTGTTTAATGGTTGAGTACAGGAAAATTCCTACTTTTGAAATATGTCTCCTTAGCGTATATTATTTGAGGGAAGTATTTCAAATTGAATTCTCCTCCCTTACAAAAAAGGACACATGAAAAGATTTCAAGTTAAGCATACTTGAAATCATAGAAGTAATGATTTTTATAAAAAGCAAGGCTTTTGACCCCATATGTAACGTATTTCAATGGGGACGTACTTTAAATACGTGTTTCCTATTTCACAAAAAAATGAATGAATTATTCACTATCCAAGGTAATAGAGCGCCGAAGGCGCGACTATATAAGGTATAGTAGTATAATAGGTATAGGTATAGTAGTATAAGGCTAGTATAATATAAGGCGCATGTCCGACATAACGGAATAAAAGGGTCGCACTGGAGAGTCCCGGGGTCTGTCAAGTGAGTGAGTCGAACAGAGAGTCGACTTGGAGGATAGTGAGGAGAAGCCATAAAGAAGATGCGGGATATTGAGTGGACCCTTGGCGTTAGTGCTGGAGGTCGTATGCTGTCTGTCGCCCCACCCATTCCATTTGGGTTCATATTCAGGTGTTGCTTGCTGAGTATCTATTACCTAATAACCATTTAAGGGAACAGAATTTTTACGTATTTTTTTTCCCAAATTCATCCTCTGGTTCTTCTTACTATTGACCCCTTTCCAAACTGGTTGTCACAATAAAGTAATTGTATATTTAAGGAGTTAATGGAGTCATTATAAACCTCGAACAGGCTGGCGATCTCATTCGTGATAATTATTACCGTTAAATCGCGTCGGAACCGCCTACAACATTGTCGGAGGGGAGGTGCGCATCTTAAAAGGGTGTCGTATGAAGGACTATTATGCAATATTTCCTAATTAGAGAAACCCTGACAAGTTTTTACTTTTGACTTGAAGCACCTTTTAGTGCATTACGCGGCAATTGAAGGCAACAGATTTGTCACCTAGTGCCTCTTACACTGGAAATCATGTGACTTGACCATGAAGTCTCCCTCAACGTTATGGAAATTGACAACTTTTTTAAGTGGTAGGCAATATAAATGCCAATTTGATTACTCTTTCAATCAAAATAATTTCCATTTTCCTATTTATGGAAATTAAATATACCGCTCAAAATCGCCTGAAGGGGAAAGCAGAGATGATGATAGTCATCAATTATGAACGCGAGAAGAAATCAGTGTGCAGTCATTGAATTCCATGTTACAGAGGGTGCGAAGAGACTGGATAGACGTCCATGCACAGGCGTGGTGGATTCGCTCTGCCCAGAGGGACAGGGAGCAGGGTGGGTTGGGTCCGCGCGCATAGGCCAGGTGAAGGATGGGGTCCAGTCGGGTAGACTGCGCGCGTTCACTACGTCAGATAGCATTCGCAAAGGTAACATTTTGGAGCAGAATAGACATCCCCATAGCAGCGCATGTATTAGAAATAGAGATTTGGCATTGCAGATTATTAAGAGGGAGCAATAGCTACGCATCGCTCGTACTACTGTTGCGGTTAATTCGCTATTTCCTTTTCAAGGAAAGAACTAAAATCGCTTTCAGCCGTGCTAGGTGGCTGTAACTTGTTGCCATGACAACGACAAATCGGCATCCCCTGTGCATAGTAGGGCTCGATCGATTTCCAGTTCAAGATGCAAGGTTTACACTTTGAGTCGAAGGACATTTTTTTCCCGTGTTGACTTCCCCATTCGATGTCGAGTACACAACCAAGATTGGATACCGGATGTTTCGGTTCACAAGAACGCAAGGAATATGGCTTATGCCTGCCGAACTGCAATACGGGACAAAAAACCACAGAAGCGACAGAAAGAAAGAGTTAGCGTATCGTTATGGCATCCCTATCTTATTCTGACAGGAGTCATTTGTATTCAGTTTGGAGTTGCATGATTTCACTCCCAGACGAATAATCACCAAGCGAATGAAGTACTAATTCAGAGGGCTAATTCACTCCTTTCACCGAGCAAAGGAAGCGAAGCTGGAGTTAACGATTTCACTCCATAAAAACAAGGAAGTAATGCCGCTCACCTCTCTCGTTCCTGAGATTAACCACTAACCTTTTCTATTAGCTTGAAAAGTACTCTCCCTCCTTCGTTTCGCGCTCTTAAAAATAGCTATGGATTCTGCTCATATAAAGGAGTCGTAATCGATTGTTCCTCGTTTTTCAGGAGTAAAATCGCTAACGCTCCAGTTTCGCTCCCTTTCTCGGAAATCGCTCACTTTCTATGTGTCTATACATATACATATATAATCTCTTCCGTCAAAACTCCATGTACGCAAGCAGAGATGTGAAATTGAAACCGGCCACTGTTGAGGTCAATCACGGCTGAAAATCTAAGGTGTCATCACTGAACTCATGAGACGTCTGTTGCCATGAATGGAGGGAGGACGAGCCGGTCAAACGATGCCGAGCACGAGTGAATTATGAGCGAATTCAATTAGAATGACAAATTAGGTAAAGACAATAGATGCCAATCGAATTTACAAAAAAAAAAAAAAAGATTGAGCGACTGACTCTGGACGTAAGCTTGATATCCTTCGGAGGGGATGAGCGAGCTCTTGTCCTTCTCAACCAGCTCACAGGACCCATCGGAACTTCGATAGTTATAGGCCTTGCATGCTTTCGGTCGCAAACTCGAGCATAAGATGTTGCAGTTCCCCATGGACCGAGTGGAGACTCTCCGAGACACATCTCCATACCTTTGACCTTGTTTGGTGGCGTAGTACTTGAGGAAGCCGCATTCCGTCTTCGAAGAAAGAAGGAAGAGGAGGAGCCAGCGAATCCTGCCTGCACGTTTCATCTTGGCCGACTGCAGGTTTTCTCTTTTCCTCTTCTTCATTTTCTTCTGTGCCCTGAGACTGGCGTGAGGGATCACGTGACCGACCGCAACCAATCCGGATGATGTACGCTGCGAAGGAAGATTTCAATTGGGTTTTCTTCTCCCCAGATGGCGTGCGAGGCGAAACCAGCCTCATCCAAAGTTGAACCAACTCGCCTCGCAATAATTCATTCTTAACGGTCTCACTGTGACGTCAAACTTAGAGAAGGAGAAAATAATGCAGATTTTCCTGGTAACGCCAGGCGTCCCTTGCTTCAGTTTTGAGAATGCCAGCAAATCGATACTCCTCTGCAATATGAAATCTTCGACGCAAATTGAAAATTCCGAACTGAATGTCCCTGTCTTGGTACAGATGCAGATGATAGCCATTGGGTGAGTTTCTAACTGGTGCTAATTTTAGCGTTTTCTATATATTAGAGAAAATTGTAATTTTCTACGCACAATTAGTTCTCAAGATTCCAGATAATATCATGCATTTGGGATTTTCCCCTTGGGACACTGTCTCTTTTTGAGGGGTGGGACATCCCCCACTTCCACCCAAGACGAAAATTTCCTAGCAAAGCGGTTGTTACAGTTATGTCAAAATATAGTGTGTGATGGAAGAATCGTAGAGCTTTCGGAGGAAGTAGATTAGGCGGTGCCACGAGGACAGACATCACTGCACTAGTGAATACCTCCTTTGGATGTGCGGTTTTCAAAGATAGGCATATTTCGGCTGCCTGGAAATTAAAGTTCTTTTCTGTCTAGAGAAGATTAATGTAAAGAGGAAAAATGATCTCGCTTGAGAACGTCACGAGAATTTTTTTTGAGATGGTGGAGGCTTTATAACCTCTTCTCATAGCATGGCGTACAAGAATGAAATAAATAGTGATTATAAGGCGAGGAGCAGACATGAAACAGGAATTATTTAGAAATATGTACTTTCATGCAGCTTTGTTCTGCTTCATGTGTCCTTGGGATTTGCAATTAATGATGTGCTTGTTCCTTCGGTATGCGGTGAATCATGCGGTTGCATAACTGGAACATTTTCTGGCAAATTCAATGACTTCGGTATTACGGAGCAACTGCCGTAGGTACCAATCCATCGCAACCAAGAGCATCGCTGACGCACGAGTGAAAGGTCCCGTGGGAATTGGATTCACTTCTCAATTGACCAGCCCGATGGTAATCAATCCCCAACTGCAATTTTCTTCTCGACGCCCAGCCAGAATGCGGCCGACTATGGCGGGAAACATTTTCTTCTGGGAGTTGTACCTCCAAATTTGGAGCGGGGATGTGTCCCCGAAGTTGGATGTTTTCTGAATTAAGCATGCAAAGAAATACTTGTCTTCTGAATATAACAAACTGTGCCAGTCCGTTCAGCTTAAATATAATTTCTGACAACATGACCCTAATGAATAATGTGCACCCAAGGAATCATCCTCAAGAGTAGAATTTTACCAGAAATTAGCGACTGGAGAGCAACCAACGTACCAAATTCCAGGTTTCTATAACCTTCACCGCCAGATTCAATGTGGCAAAACATATTTTTAAATGTCTCCCCCAAATGTACCCCCAGAAGATATCTTCCAGAAGCAAGATTTCCCCTTATGACTGCATACCAGCATGTACCTAATTAGTAAGGTTTCAGCCTTTCGTCTCCATGATTCCCCGGAAAGAAACAATTTTTTTTGGGAAAGGTCCACCCAAAAAATATGCCCCTGGGAACGAATCCTAAAAGTAACTTCTCCCCCCCCCCCCTGAAATCTGCACCACAAAAGGTACCGATGCTACAAGTTTCAGCTTCTACGTCTCTCCGTTTCATTGGAGCCAAGAAAATATGGAGATACGTCTCTCCTAAACATAAATACCTGAAATCCGCACCATCAGAGTTATTCGTGCAGACCTACCAAGTTCGAACTTTCAATCTCATCTAAAACATGGTTACAACTAAAGTCAGTCGCTGACTCACTCAATCATGTTTTACTCCAAAATTTTCAATGAAGAGATGTGGTAGTTTCGGATGTATCATAGAAGTTAATTAAATCATTCATATGTGTCATTACTCGTCCTCTATACACAACTAATGAGGAAAACGGTGGTTTTACGTATTCGGGGCTTACAGTCTGACCATTCTTCCCTCTCCCGTTAGACAAGTTCTGGTACTCCTCATTGCATGTCGCAAGACCCAGAAAGAAGTCAGTTTGCCAGCTTTCACCAGTGGTTAGTGTGGCAAACTCCTTCATGCGACTCTCCCCGGTCTGCACAACAATATTGATGTATTGTTATAATGGCATCGAAGTTTTGACATCCACTATGTTGAGTCAATATTGAAGACATTGATTGTCATACTTAATCAACATTAACTCAATGTTGAAAAGAGACAGGTCTCAACAATGCCTCAGCATGCATTGCTCATGCGCATGAATGAACAAGCAACATTGGCTGAAGTACGAGGTATTCCGTGAGTTTTTAGTGGAATCTTACCTCTTCAGTATTGAAAGTAGGGATCCCCTCTCTAACCTCGACGCGGACTCTAACCCCTATCTGAACTCTATACCGAGTTCAGATAGAGGCATCCGGTTTCGCGGAAGGAAGAGGACAGCAGTGATAGCAGCCAATTTAAAGATGACTGGTCATCTTTACATCCATGGGCCCTTCCACGCCGCCCAGGTTTCAAGGTTTAGAGTTTCCTTTCACGCGAGGGGTGTCATGGGGTCACATCAACACGTGAGCTTTCTTCTATCCGTTCCCTGGGTCAGAATTACCCTGAGTCTCATTGGGTTGGGTTGCCTCTTTCGCCGAATGTATCCAGGAATTCAAATGCCATCTCCGGTGTCGTCTGTGGAGAAAATATAAAACACTGTGCAAAAAGTATTGGGGGACGCGTACCGGTTGCATATATGAGGTAACTCGCGTGTTGACGATTCGTCGCCATTTCACTTTGGGGTCAGGGCGCCTTGTTTGTTCGGATGTCTCACTTGATGTCTCACCCAATTTATGTTGATGTAACATTGACCGGAAAATGTCCTCGCAATGTTGGTATTTTCATCATTGCGTCAGAGTTGAGTATGCATCATCAGCATCAACATCGTTGAGTCAATTTCGTTGTGCAAACTGGGTCGCCGCCTCGCTCACTCAGGTAATCTATGATTGAGACGTTAAGAGTGGATTCCCTTAGGAAAAAAAGATGTCACGCACATGCAACGGAGGCACGCAGGAGTTCCATTGCCCCATCAGAAGAAATAAAGATGTGGGCACAGGGTGAGAGAGAGCGAGATTCGAACTCTAGCCGGCAAAGAGCTGGGATTCGATGTAATCTATCAGTTACCTAATAGCAGCACGCTCCGTTTTCCCCTTCTGATAACTTGACGCGAATTGAATATCAAGAGTGGAAAAAGGATCGGACTGCGCCGGTGGGACAGGGGGTGTCGCTAGCCCCAGCCGATGCTGAAGTATACGAAGAGACTCTCGTCAATCACGAAGTACCCAGTCGGCTAGGCCGGTCCCGAGCAGAAGGAGGAGAGATAGCCTTGCCTATAGTCGCTCACCTGGGCTTTAGCCCCGCCCGTCGCTCGGCGCATACTCCGTGCTCAGGCGAGGAGTCCTCGCACTCTCATCAGCCTTCCGTTCGCGTGCCGATTCACATTAAACCCACAATGATCCATTTAATATACTGTATGTGCAAGGGATGGAATTTCATCAATACAAAACGTTACCCGCCCCCCCGTTCGTCCGAATTTCACCGCTTTTCCCCCTAATCTTTACATGAAGGGTATTCTGACCGGTTGAAAGACAGGGAAAAAAAAACTTTTTTTACCTCAGTTTCACCGTCCTAATTTTACCTCAGGGGAAAACTTTTTGTAAGGGAACATACGTATTTATAGGTAGAAAATCGAATCAAGTGAGAAAATATTGGAAGAAAAGATTCACGAACGGCTCCATTTATACCACCTGATTACGTCATGAAATATTAACATATGATTCCAGGAAAACTGCTTTCCTCTTGATGCCTATCTGACAATCTTGCAAATATTATGCAAATTTATAAAGCCATGTATCACAGAAGCAAAAAAAAAATCAACCTGGCGCAGCCCCTGAATCCAACTTGTTTTTAACTCCTCTTATGGAACAGATAAGGACAGAGGCTGAGCAATAATCTTTCGAAGAATTCATCTTCGCAACAGGTAGAGAGGGCAGGAGAAAAAAAAATGAATGAAATAGACTCTGAAGGTGAGTTGATTTTCCATTTGAACAAGTTAAGCATCAACAACTTTCTGAACCTAGGGTACTACAAGAGTTAGTTGCTGGCACAAGGTTATACCCACTTTAAATGCTTCCTTTAAGCCTCTTCAGAGTCAGAGACAGTCTTAATGCAGTGTCTGGGATCGACATAAGCCAGACGTTGATACCATGTTTGTCCCCTATATTGTGGTTCTGGGTAAGCCTTTTTCCTCTACACGTCGGTCGCGTTCAAGTGCCCCTTTTTTTTCCTGTCGTCTAGTAAGGACTTGTACGTCGCAAGATCCAAAAAGAAGCCGCTTTTTAATATTCTTACTTTCACCGATTTTTATCTTATCTACTGACTCATGGGGCTGCGCGCCGGAGCGAGGAAATGCATTAGATTAGTTACTAAGTCTGCTATTCGCGACAAAGGGCATTCGTTTTCTCTACAGCGGCACTGAGGGTTCCCCCGTACGTCCCCAAAGAGATGGGGTAAGCTCGAAATAAAGATGTGGAGTGTAAGGTGGGGGAGGCGGGATTCGAACCTAAGCCAGAAAAGGATTCCTCGAGATCCATGACTGTCATGCAGGACGAACCCCGATATTCCTCCTCCAACTATGAACCTCATATTAGAAATTGGGAATCGAGAGGAAAAAGGACCGAACTGCGCCGGTGGGACAAGAGTGTCGCTCACCACAGCGTCAAGCTATAGAACACGAATAGACGAAGTACCCAGTCGGCTAGGCCGATCCCGAGTAAAATACGGCTGCTTATCCTTCGGGTACCAACGTGTGGGGCCCGCCTACTGTTATCGAGGCGGGGAGCGTACTGCGTACGAGGCACGCGTACCCTAGGGGTGTCAGTACTATTCACCGCATATGCGCATGTACCGCCGTTCTTTTGGCCAATTTATGCATCGGTAAGTGAAATCCAGTGAGATGAAAATGGAAAGAAGAAACCTGTCTCCTCTCGCATCGTTCTGAGGAGCATCGTGAAGAAAGAAGCTTACTTATAATGTGCTTTAGAGTGTGTCAGCATCTTCATCGACCTTTAGGTATGAAGACTACAACGCTAGTTTCGCTCAAGAGGCGCACCTTAGGGCTGAGGTACCGAAGGGAAATATTCCGGCCATTAGAGCCAGCAGATATCATAACAGCACGTGCCGTCTCCGAATAGAATGGAACTCAGTTTTCATGGGGCATTCGAAGTCCGGTTGCATCGCACACCGGAGAAGCGATTTTTTAAATTCAAATCTGATCTCGCTTTTTTCACATGATGATCCGATTGTTTTGCACTGTTGCGAAATTTACCCCAAGCAAGTACTTCTGTTAAATAAATAAATAAAAAATCGAATTTATGTTCGAAGTGCGAGTACTCCAGAAGAGCGCACATCAAGAACAAGTCCTCGTCATAAAATGTACTAAGAACAATCAGCATTGAAACGAATGCACATAAACTGCATAAACTGCCTGCTTCTAACAGTTCTTCCTGAAAGCAAAAGGCAATACACATGGTAAGATTCCTACGAAAAAGAGGGAAATGAAATGATCGCACTGCCTCAACCGCCTTCGGAAGTGAGGCAGAACTGAATGAAATCCCGAGAAAAGCGACGATATGACTGGTGGTCATTTTTGCGAGGAACGAATTTCATTGAACGAAATGATGCGTGAGAGTTTTCGAGGATAATGAGCCCCTGAGTCGAAAACGACGAAGCAGCAGGCAGATATCTTACGGTTCAAGATCTGAATCCGATCCGGATTCTCATTCCGGTCATCGCCGATACGCGCAAAATGAGGCAAATTAATCAACAACGAGGCAAATTAATCAACAACGAGGCAAATTAATCAACAACGAGGCAAATTAATCAACAACGAGGCAAATTAATCAACGACGAAGGCAAATTAATCAACGACGAGGCATTACCGGCTGAGAGTGGCAGACGAGCGTTGCGCATCTCGTCTTCCGTCGAACCGGGAAACTGAAGGACGAAGGCGACGCCCGGCCCGGCATGCTCCATCGTCTCCAAGCTTTACTTCTGTCTGGCCTCAAGGAAAAGAAGAGACACGAGTCAAGTAGGAGCAATTTTATCTTGCACGAACGGAAACTTTAATGGTTAACGGTAAGATGCCGAACATTCTGTACTGACGATGCGATGCTGCTGATAGCCGGGGAAATGTTACGTCACAGCAAGCCTGTGAAGCGAATCGTTACATTTTTCGTTATCGTTCGAATTAGACTCTCAAATCCTAATGTACGAGAGAATTCCCACGGGGAAAAGGTGCATTCTTTGAAGCACCAACATGACCCTTGTAGCCGCCATCGTCGGTATCAGTTCAGGGGGATCAGATTGAAAAGGACGAACGGATCGGGAGAAAAAAGGCACCAACTCATTTGAGACGCGGCAACACGGTCACTCACTGCTGGCTGGTCTGGGATTCCATCTTCTTCGATTCCTTCGTTTGCAGTGATGCTGAGGAGTTGAATCCTCACAACTTGAAGTAATTACTTAGTTTTCTTTCCATTGTAGGGGGATTTTCCATCCTTCTGGAAGTAACATCTTTGGCCGACTTCGTCTTCTCATTATAGTTCATTTTCGCTCTGTACTTCACTCTTCTTGTTTCCTTCAGTGAAGAAAACGTTTATTTGTGCAACACTGACAATCCCAGCAAGCAAAACGGTTTCAGTAAGGTAGTACTCATAAGCAAGGAATAACTAATTTCAGTTTTGTTCCTTCATTTTTCATAATGCTGTTTTCATAAGTATTATCTCTCGCCAAAAAAATATGATTTTGACTTCACCATTTGTCAAACTATGGATTTATGAATTTCATTAAATATTGGATTGAGGGAAGGCTTTTCGGGATTGCAGAGCAAAGGCGAATCCCTTGACCTTCGGCCTCTTGTGAGTGGAAGCCTCTCGAATTGTATTCGCAGGATTTATTCATGGTTAGCAGTTATCCCCCATTACCTGAAAAGTTTAGCAACGTGATAAATCAGGAATCCTAGACATCTTTATTATGATTCTATCGGGCAATTAGAGTTAGTGACATCAGGAAGTAAGAGACTGATCATTTCATTTTGATATCCAAAATAGCTGATCTTCCAGAAATATTCCATTTTATTCGACAAATCGCACGAATCAGCTTTCCTCCAGAGACAGCTCAGCGCGAAACTCTTTTTTTTCCGATCTCTTAATACCACAGTTTCACTTTATTTTTCTATTCGCCTCTTCCCTTGTTGGGTGCATTCCACGGCTACGGACCACTTAGCTCAATCTGAGCTCAAAGAAAAGGATGACCAACCTATTGAACAACACTGCCAATCCATCATGGCGTCACGCAGGTAAACGCAATCCTACCCGCAATCCTAGAGTGGGGGTCTTGCGTTGGCCTAGAGCAATAAAAAAGGCCTTTAGGTACATTCATCCACCAGCTCCTCATCCATTAGGAACGATGACAGTGTACAATTTGTACATCTTCAATAAAAGAGGTGCCCTTTTATATTATGGAGAATGGAATAGATGGAAGCATTCTGGCATCTCGCAGGAAGAGGTCAGGCATCCTCACTCCTTTAAATATCGGCCTATGATGTCTAGTTATACTGGAAGAGATATTCATAAGCTAGATATTTTCGCCATTTTGAAAGCATGTTAACCTGGTTAGTCCAGAATTCTCCTATCCGAGCATCTCACTATCACTTTAGAGCAACACCTAAAAAAGGGAGGAATGTAGCAGTTAGTGACAAGGCAGTAGTTGGAAATGCTCCCACAAATTCATCTATCTAAAAGAGGGGTAGGCCTATCTTATTTTACATGAATACCTGACCTTCACATTGGACATAATTTGGGTGAAAGAGCCCTTGATGTCCTTGAATCTGCTTTGGTTTTTCCTTAAACATGGAATATGTGTCTTCAGGCCTAGACCCAGGCATTGTTCTCCAGGGTCAAGTTAACTGATAATGCTAAGTTAGGCCTTGTGCATTTCTACCAGAATGTGATCCTACTTATGAAAGAGTTAATTGATTTTTGTAGTTGCATGAAGGTGCTTAAAGTCAGGGATAATGTTAACACTGAATGATGTGCTAATGCTTCTTTTTATTTCACAGGAGGCAAAGCTGATGTATGGATCTCTGTTCTCCCTGAAGTCTTTTGTCTCCAAGATATCACCTTGGGATCTGAAGGAGGGGTTTCAGTGCTACAAAACCAACAAGTACAAACTAACAATGTTTGAAACTCCTACTGGCCTCAAGTTCATCATGAACACAGATGTCAATGCACCAAATGTGCGGGAGCTCCTTCAGATCATCTATGCCCAGGTAATCCAGCATTGCCCTTACTTAGCCATATTAACATTGGAAAAAGAGGAGTGCAATGCCATTTTCTACCTGTTGAAATTCATGCAGGTGTTTGTGGAATATGTGGTGAAGAACCCCCTATGCAGCACACAGGAACCCATCATCAGTGAACTATTCAAGTCCAAGTTGGATGAAGTGGTAAAAACATCACCTGCATCTGTATCCAAAGGATGAAAGCAGCCAACTAGATCAGGCACAATCCTCTGATCTGGCCACATGTCTTTGTTTCATCATAGTGCGCATATCATTCCTATCCTCTATGGTGTGGAACAGGAAGATTGTCTCACTTCCTTCAAATGCTTTTGCTTATTCTAGAGTATCCTGTCAAGACATCAAGGATGTTGCTTACAAGCTTGAGATTTCTATTGTTCTTGGGTTATGATGAAATTGAGTGCACTTTGCCACTTACATCATATTGAAGCCATGTTGTTGAAGGAATGAAGACCCTCAGATAATGACTTCCTAATGAATTTGCTAGCACTTCCTGAGAATCATAGAACTGCACATTTTTGCTGTTATTCCCATACTGAATGCATATACATTACAATTCTGACTCAAACATTCACCCCTCATGGGCCAGAGGTTGACAGACTCAAATGAATATTTGCAATCATAAGTAGGAATGTGACCTTGTGAATACAATGTTGCAGGAGTAAACATACTCTGGACTGAAAAGGAAACAATTTTTAACAATTTTGTAACTTTTCCTTAACCATTTGGCTGTTTGCCCGAGTACATACTCGGGCTTATGCAGTGGTAGCATGGGTATGCTCTCAGGCTCAGAACATTCACTGTTTCTACAGGGTGTCCCATAAATCAGGACCCGTAGGGATTTCTAGGGAGCATTTTCCACCTTAAAGCATGCATTGTGGAGGCGTGTCAAGAAATTTCTGCGACTGTGATTCAGAAAGTGTGGTTGCAGTGGAGATTGCGTCTTCAACTATGTGTGCGACAAAACGGCGGACAATTTGAACAATTATGTAATACATTTTTGGACTATTTTGTAATTTTATTAAATTTTTTTCCCTGTGGGTCCTGACTTACGGGACACCCTGTAGGTCACTTCACAGCTATTTATGCATGTAACTGCCACCTTCAATAGTTATCATGGTATGAAATTATCTTACATAAACTATTGTTTTTGAACAAAAAAGCAGGGCCAATTTTCATACAAAAACCTATCAGCCATCCCCAGTGTTATAACAAAGGGTTCATGCTGCTAGGCTGAACTTTCTTATTATGAGGATAAAATTTATTTTAAATAAGTTGGGATTGTATACCTTCATGAAATTTCATGTGGTCACTCATCCACAAAAAATTGGATGTTATTCTTTGAATGACATTACTAATGTTCATATTTTGCACTTTTCAAGTCATCTAAATAAATTATATGCTTTTCTGACTAATCTACATATAAAATAAAAAATATCAAGAATACACAATTTTTTGCATTTGGAAATTTATTCAATGCAAAAAGAACATCAGGAGTTTTTAGTTCCATCTTCCATGGTCTTTTGCATGTGAAAGCAAGAAGATGGTCAGTGAAGA